GCAATGCCCGTGGTCCCCATGACAGCGGACCCCATCTCACAGACGCAGCCGCTCTTGAACCCCCAGGCGTGCACTTGATCCATTTCCCCCCCCCCATCCCTTCTTCTTCCTCCTCCTCCTTCCTCTTCTGTCCCTCACTCCCTCCCTCCCTCCCTCCCTCCCTCCTCGTTCCCTCCTGCCTTCCTCCTCCCTCATTCCCCAGTTTCTCCTGACTCCTCATCTAGCTCCTTCTCCTGCCCCTCCTTTTCGTGTTCTTCCTTTGCTTCCCCCTTCATTATCCTCCATCGTCCCTCCTGCCTTACCATCCTCCTTCTCCGCCTTGTTCTCCTCAGCTTCCTCTCGGCATCCTCCTCCAGGTGCCGGCGAACCAGGAGATCTTCGCGATGTTGCAGAGGGTTCGGGGAGGGTCCAACGAGGTGCACGAACTGCGCAAGGACCAGAGGCAGATCATCATAGGCAGGCACCCGACCTGCGACGTCGTGGTGGGGCACAAGAACGTCTCCAGCCAGCACGTCCTGATCTATCGCGACAGCACGTACCGCTACTTCGCCGAGGCCACTCCCGTCCAATCCTTCCTCCCCCCACTTCCTTCCTCCCCTTATCCTCCCTCCTTTTCCTTCCCTCCCCCCTCCCCCTTTCCACTTTCCCCTCACTCCTTCCCTTCCCCTTCCCTCCCTCTCGCTCTCCATCTCTCTCATTCTCCCTCCCTATCTCTCCATCCCTCCCTCCTTCCACCCCCCTCCCTTCTCTTTCTCTTCCTCCCTCCCCATCCGCCCCCTCCATCACGCTTATTCTCCTTCTCCCACTGCCCCCCGTCTCGCCCTCAAAAGTCGTTTCTTGGACCCCTCCTAGAGTGCTATCTGGCCAGAACTTCAAGGCGGAGCTGGCCTTGACGACGAGTAGCTTCCCAAGGCACCCCCAAAGTAGAAAACCCGCCCAAAGTCGTTGACCCCTTCGGACCGGCTTTGGGCACCCGCCGTGCAGAGGGACACTCTCACCCCAGCGCGGGCCACTTTTCTGGATCCGATTCTTTCCTCGTTGCCGCCCCTTGCATTCCCCCTCCTCAGCCCTCCCCTGGTCCTTCTGCGCCTCCCGCCTCCAGCTCCTGCTGCTGCTGTCCCCCCTTGTCCTCCTTCCTCACCCTCCTTGCCCTCTCGCTCATACCCATGCTCCTGCTACTGCTCCTGCTCGACTGGGTAGCGTCGGCGTCGGTCTCGGCGTCGGCGTCTACGTCGGCGACATCGTCGTCGTCCTCTTCGTCGTCGTCGTCTTCTTCGTCGTCGTCGTCGGCGCCGCCGTCGTCGGCGTCGGCGTCAGCTTCGTCGGCGTGGTCGTCGTCGGCGGCGCTGGGGACGCCAGAGGCCCTGAGCAACAACGGCTGCTTCATCGGCGACACGCTGATGAAGAGGGGCAACGTGCGCGGGCTGCTCCACGGCGACCGGCTTTCCCTGTGCGTGCACCCCGACATCAAGGCTTCCTTGCGTCTCCTCCTCGCCATCCGGTCTTGGAGGGTTTCTCCGAAGGGCTTAGGCGACCCGTCCTCCTCCTCTTCCTCCTCCTCCTCTCCCTTCTCCTCCCCCTCCTCCTCCTCCTCCTCCTCCTCCTCCTCCTCCTCCTCCTCCTCCTCCTCCTCCTCCTCCTCCTCCTCCTCGGGTCGCCTACGGCCCCGGGGGAAACCGTGCATCCTGTCTGCAGTAATTCGCCGATGGCCGCTTCATTCCTCAAGGTGGATCCAGGTGCTCTCTAGGCCTGTTGCCAGCTTGGTAATCCTCCGCGCGGCGCTGCACAAGAGGAGGCGGTTCTTGAAGGGCCGGCATCCGAAGTGCGGCGAGCCTGCGGCGAGAATCGCGAGCTGGCCGTTGTCCCATGAAGCACGCAGAGAGTAACAGTTATGGTGCCTATCGTTGCTCAGGCCCGCGCGGGGTCGGGCCGTCCGAGATGCCTCCCCGGGGTCTCGCAGGGCCCCCGCTCCTGTCGGCGCCGCCGCCTGGGGCGCAGGCCGTGCTCGGCGCACACCGCGCGTGGCGCCGCGCTCGGAGCTTCCCTGGGCCGCGGGCCCCGACGCGCAGGGGGGGGGAGCAAAACCTCCCCGAGGCTCGATTATCGAGGATCCAGCTCTCCCCAGCCATCCTGTGGTGTTTTTGCCCCAGGTTTGAGGAGACAGCGCCCTGCGTTCCCGCTCCCCCCCCTCCCCCTCCTCCCCCTCCTCCCTCCTCCCATCCCTTGCCTCTGCCCTCCGCGTGTCCTCATCGTCGTCATTTGGGCGCACGCAGTTCCACCTCCATGTCGGCGCAGCCCTTACACGTTCCGTGGCCCCAGAAGGTGCTCCGCCAAAGGCCCCAGTGGCAAGGTCCGTATTCTTGGCCCCATAGGGTGGTCCGGAAAAAGGCTCCAGCGAAGGCGCCAGTGGCAGCGCCCGCGTGCCGCCGCCATCCCACGTTGGCACACGCCTCACACGTTTGGCGCCCCTACCAGGAGCTCCACCGAAGACGATACTCACGACTGCGGCACTCGCAACTGCATATAGTTGGGTCCTTCGCCAGGCTAATTGTCTGTGTTGCGTTTGAGGCCTCTCCGGGGCCTCCGGAGGCCTCCAGGGACTTCGGACGCCTCCAAGGACTTTGACCTTGTCTTCCTCCTCATCCTCATCCTCCTCTCCCTCCTCCCTTTCCTCCTCCTCCTCCTCGACCTCCTCGTCCTCCTTCTCCTCCTCCTCCTCCTCATCTTCCTCCTCTTCCTCCTCCTCCTCCTCTTCCTCCTCCTCCTCTTCCTCCTCCTCCTCCTCCTCCTCCTCCTCCTCCTCCTCCCGCTTCCCCCTCCTCCTCCTCCTCCTCCTCTCCTCCCTCCTCCTCTTCTCCTCTCCTCCTCCTCCTCCTCCTCCTCCTCCTCCTCCTCCCCTCTCCCCCTCCTCCCCTCCCCCTCCTCCGACTCTTCCTCCTGATCCTGGTATCCTGCAGCGACTGCTACTTTTCTTTGTCCTTCCTCTACCCCTACTATGCCTGCTCCCTTTTCTCCGCCTCATTCTCCTTCTCCTTCTCCTCCTGTTCCACGTTCTCCTGGTCCGTTTTCTCACTTTGGCCCCCATCCCCTCATGGTTCTGAGGCGCGCCTTCCGTGCGAATTCACCAATCCCATCCTCCTGATCTTGCTGCCCTCCCGATTCCCTCTCCCTGATCCTCCCGTCGTCCTCCTGAGCACGCCACCCCGAACCGAACGGCCAGGTGTGCTTTTTAGCTGTGCTGAGGACGACCCGACTGCGGAGCACAAATCTCCATCACGAACATCACGTGTGGATCGGCCTGGTGGGCCCTCTGTAGGCCTTGGTCTCGCGCACATGAGTCGGTCCTGCACCGGCTAGCTTTCACTGGCGCGTCATAATATATGCTGGATACATACATACACGCATGCATGTATGTATGTATATACATTTATATATATTCACACATGCATGCATACATGCAGCATGTATACACTCATACTTACGCACAGTCACACACATACATGCAACAGTGTCACGCATGTATGTATTCTTGCGTACCCACATACATACACACATGCACACCCATACACACATACATGCATACATGCATACATGCATGGATGCAGGCATACATGTACATACACATACATGCGCACACACACGAATGCGCATTTACATACATAATTACATGCATACATACATACATACACACATACATACATACATACATGCATGCATGCATGCATACAAACATACATACATACATACACATGCATACATACATACATACATACATGCATGCACGCATACATACATACACACATACACACGTACACACATGCATACATATACACATACACATACACATACACATACACATGCACATACACATACACATACACATACATACACACTCATACATACCTACACCCATACGTACATACATGCATACATGCATGCCTGCATATATTCATACGTACATGCATACACACATGCACAGACAATTACACCCATCCACATACACATACATGCATGCATGCATACATGCATACATACCTGCATACACACATGTATGCATGCATGCACACATAGGTTACAAGCATGCATGCAGACATACACACAAACAGCCAGACAAACAGACAGACAGGCAACCATATAAACATACATGCGTACACACACTTACAGATTTTCCTGCATACATAGATACATACATACGGAGACAGACAGAGATAGAGACAGGCAGACAGACAAGCATGCATACATACGTGCGTACGTACTCACGCACGCATATGTATATGT